CAAACAGCTCTGGATTACACTGTGAGTACACAAAGCTTATTCTCTTTCCTTAAGGCATGGATACTCACTATGTATTTCAGGGCAGCAGTGAATATTCAGCTGTGCGTGGCACTCAGTGGCCTACATGGCATACATCTCCTCTGCCTCCCAACAGCACCATCCTCACGGAATATAGACCTTGGCATTTCCTTGGGATCTCCCAAGGAACTGGCAATAATAACTTGCATTCATATTAATAAGCTCTGTTGGTGTTAGAGTGCTACTGAGTTTAATCAATTCAGTATTGTTTACCCATGGTGTTGGGAAATTTTAAAATTTACCTTGTGTTGTGGTTGCAGGAAAAATTTCATTTTGCATTAAACATACAAAATCTCTCAGAAAGGCCATTCACGGAGTGCGTTACACGTGACATTTGAAGTCTGCCCTGTCATTAGCAAAACTGCTGAACAGGGACATTATCATAGCTAATTAACATCTAAAGAGTTCTCTATCAATTAATCACACTAATGTGAGAGGAGAGACAGCCTTGTATGTGTATGCAGCTCAATGCAGAGGTCCTTGAAGGTGGACTGCATCTGTTTTGCGTAAAGTCTCAGGAATGGGGCAGAGGAGCATTTGACATTCAATTCATATAGTGGATTTGTATTTGCCAATTAACTTTGATGTCTTTTTTACCTTTTGTTCATTAAATTGCAAATAGTGTAACACAGCTTCTTACTGTTAGTAATGATTTACATATGGTACCACATGGGAACAGAGCATCACATGGGAGACCCCTAGTTAATCTGGAAAAAAACAGGCATTACTAGCACTGAAAAAAAGTCAAGAGGTTGGCCAAAGGCAAAACTGTAATATACACACTTCAAAAGCAAAGCAGTAGTATGGAAAAAGATACTTGCACTGAATCTTCATAACATTTTGTTTTCTTAGTACAAAAATAAAGAAATTAGATAAAATTTTATTTTAGCTTAGGCATTGAGTTATAATTATGCATATAGTTACATGCTTTATTCAGAAACCATTTTACCTTGGTCTATTCACTTTTCCAAAGATAGAAACTGAAACTATTTTTCCCACTCTCCTCTATTTCTTTCATAACAATTGTATTCGATTTCTTGATGTGAGTTTGTGTACTGTCTAATTAAAGACAAGAGCAAGTAAGGTGGCTGAATCAGACAATTTAAATTAAAATCAGCAAAATAGAAAGGTGAAGGCTGAACATTATCCCCACAAGACACTGTATATTCCACATCAAATACAAGAAATTTTATCTATTAAGCCAACACAATAGCAGCTAAAGATAATCTTGGAGAAATGTCAGCTAAAGAGGCGATAGGGACTCAAAAGGAGGTCATACCAAACAGCTATTTGTTCTTAAAGCAAACAGACAACAAAGTTTATTGACATAAACCTCTCTTAGGAACAAGGCCACAAAACACACAGAGCTCCTGAGCAATTTTCCAGCTTGTCAGATGAAGGAAAAAGCTGTGTAATTCTAACTGTAGGGCTGAAATACACTATCTCACATAACTATACAGCTCTGAAGCAACTCTGATCAATGTTTAGAGCAGACATATTCCTGACATTTTTAAATAAAATTGACAGAATGCCTACTGCCCAAACACAGACTATATTTCACTATTTAACTAAGTTTATTTTACTACACAGTAGAATATTTTAGATTATAAGAAAATATTTTAAGAGACCAGAAGTGAACCTCTGCCACCATGTACAGATCTATACTAGCTCTTAGTGTAGATTCAGGCCTCCACTGCTATACAGCTTAACACCATGCAAGACATGATTTGTTGTAAAGCATGATACTGACAAACTTTGTTCTGAATATTGGGAGCTTCTTGGCCTCAATAACTAGGACAATCATTCGTCAGCCTTCTTGTGCACTGTAAAAAAGCATGCATTATTCCATGATCCTGACAGCTTCTATTGATACTCTAGAGTATAATCATTTATCACCTGGACAATTATTCTGTAAGTAGAAATGAACAACTGATATTGGTGAATGCAGTTGAAAAGATCTTTCACGATTTCAAAGGAGATTGTATAAGGAAATAGTATCTGTGAATCATATGTAACCTGTAATGCATTTTTTTTTTCTCCTGTAAAATCAAAATTCAATTAAATATTGCCTGCAGATTTCAGTGCAAGTCCATACATGTCAGAGAGAACACACGCAAGCAGGTCCCCAGGAGTAGACCTGTTTTAGTAATGTTATCCATGTACAAAAAGGGACATCTTATCTGCAGGATTTTAATAGGACAAAGGTAGCAGAAAAGTCCCTAATTATGAAATAAAGTGATTTAAAGATCAATAAGACTAAAAAGAAATTAAATCTGTTTATATTTAAGACTAGCTAGGTCTTTTAAAAAATCCTATACCATTCTGTTTTCCTGTTCCAGGGTAATGGCCCATTTATCCCTTTATACCTATGTGTGTAGTGACTGTTACAAGGGCCGGATGGGCAGAGACAGAAGCATAGCAGACACTCTTAGTGGACAGTATACAAATGTGTGCACTAGGCACATGACTAAATTAAACAAAATCCATGCCAAATTGGAGAGTCCTACTTGTAGTATCTCTATCCTTATAAAGTGTACCTCTTTCATTATCACAAATTTCCATTGACCATAATGTCTGCTTACTACTTCATTATCCCTTAATCTTTCATTTGCCAATATCCAAACCACGTGTTATTTCAGAAATAATTCTTTATTCTTTCTTTCCAAACAGAAAACTATCCCTAAGCTTATTCATTTTCCTCTCCTATCACTCAATTTTCTTTTCTGAGCAGCGGCCTCCATCACTACCTCTGCCACTTTGGCACAAGAGATGACAGGAAACCTAAAACAAGGTTATGTTCCTATATCTGAGCTGAACTATTTTGTAAGCACTCTTATCCCATGGTACCCATGTGAAAGTCTGCAGAAGAGGACACAAAAGGGAGTGAGTGCATAAGGGAACCACTCAGGAAGGCCAAGCATTGGTGGCAGAGAATCAAGTGACACATCTCAGCTGCCCAGCCATTCTCCATAGTGGTAGCATCACCAAGATGGCCAAACAACTCAGAGGTCTTATGAAGTCTTAAAGAGTTAATATTGTTTAAAATTTCTCCAAGAAAACATAGTTTGCTAGGGTTCAGTGCATCCTTATGAACCAGAAAATGTAGTAACTAAGTCGTAGTTTAATTGAGCATTACCTACTTAATTTTACATCATTAAATATGATTTATTCAGTGTCTGCATTCAAAGACCCCTGTAAAGAAGAAAATCCAACATTTCTAGTAAAAATTGAACACTGGATACACTTTTTTATCAGGAGAATTACAAGAAAGTCATAATTTACCAAGTACAGTAATAGCTAAGTCTGACATCTATACTCTAATGCTAAAACGCCTCCTGTACTGTAAAATCCTGCTCCTTCTGAGCTCCTTCTGGGGCAGACGTTCATGAGATCCTATGGAAAGGAAAAATCCTAAGGACTCTGGATAAAATGAACCTTCATTTAACAGATTTGCCTTGTAGACTCCCATTCTATGACATATTTTGACCTAAATTTTCCCTGAGACTCACAAAGCTTTATCTAATGTGCAGACAGTTTCATCCAAGAAATTCTGCTAAATCTGCTTTGTTTCAGACTGACTGTGCTCACAAGTTGGGGGGTTGGGAGTGGATACAAAGTCACGCAGAAGCTCAGCTGACCCTGCTCTCAGCAGGTTAGACCGGATGATCTCCTGATGACCCTTACAACCCGATTCTTTTAATGTGATCCTATTAAAAAGTAATAGGATCTTTCGTTTGTAATCCAAAGAGCTCAAGACGTGCATGGTGGCGAAACAGTGGTAGCAGCCACTGCATGTAGTTTTCTTAGGGGTTTTATATGAAAGAACAAAACAAGCAAGCAGCTAGACTGTGTAGACAGCAGCTCTGAGAAAGTACACCAGGCACACGAAGAGAAAGGTCACTGAGCGCTTTTGCGCCGTGGGGTGGGATCGTTTCACTCCACTTTCTTTGTGTGAGAGAAAAATGCTGCTGGCTGGTGAGTGTCAAGAGTAGAAAGCCCCGCTGCTGCCCCCGACCCGCTCCTGACGGGCCGTGCCCCGGAGCCCACGAGCACCCAGCGCCGGAGGGGCTGGACCCCGAGTCCCTTCGACGGATCAGGGCAGCGAAGGGAGGGAAGAGCCCAGGGCAGGCGGGGACACCGCTCGCCGATGGCGACCGAGGCGGAGCTCAGGCGGGGCCGCGGCTGAGGAGCGCGGGTTCCTCCGCCGGTTCCCGCTCCCCGTCACGCCGCGGGCGACCTCCACCTCTGGAACCGCCCCTGCGGGCGTTAGTACAGCCCTGCCCGGCGGGAACGGAACCGCCCGCCCAGAGCCGTTTAAATTCGAGCTCTCAACGGTTTCCCCCGCATCCCTGGCAGGTGTCGTGGCCGCGCGCTGGCGTCACACGGACGCACGATGAGGCGAGGGACGCTGCCTCCCTGCTCCCGCGCCTGTTCTCCCCCTCACTCCTGCCTAGGTTCCCCGCTCCTTCACC